TTTAGCGTTGAGAAAAGTCGCTCGCATTTCCAGCCAGCGCTGTCCGAGAAAGCTTAGCGTGCCGATAATTTCTATCTGTCGAAAGTTAGGGTACCGAATGTATTGCAATATAATGCACGTAGTTGGGCCGCTCTCGGACAAGCATTTCCGCTTAGGTGCCGAGAGAGTTCGATCTACGGCGCATACGTAAAACCACGCGTAACCGTGAACGCCGCGTGCGCGCGATCGTGACGCGGCCTCTTGTTTTTCCTGTGACACTGTTGACATACGAAACATGTGTAAAACAGCGTGGCATAGCTCGGCCGTTTGATAAGCGCATACGCAACCGACCAATCGGTCTTCTCTTTCCGGCGCACACCCACTTGTTGCGCAAGAAACGACACCGTCGCCGTCGCCGTCGTCGCCGGTCCGTCCTCCGTCGCGGAGTAGGGGTGAATACGAATGAACGGTAATCGATCCGAAGTAAACAATTTAATTGCGAACGCGGCGTTTTTTTCTTTTTTTTTTTTTTCGTTACCTTCCCCCGACCGCTATCTCATTAGCGATCGCTCGGCCGAGCCGATCGGCGGCTAACAGGATACCGCGGTGTGAATATGCAATTAGAAATCCAAGGAATCTCTCTTGACACCGTCGTGAGAAACATCCTCGAGACGGTGCCGCGCGCGCTTTTCCTTGTAACATTTCTTGCCGGGCGTGCCTGCGTCGCGACGCGCGCACTGCGCGGTGGTACAGTTAATGTCTCTCTAATTGACGCTCAGATTGTCCACAGAAACGCCACGCCGGTTTTTTGCAGAAATTGCCCGTGGCGCCACGATGAATTTTCTTTTATGTGATTCAACATATAATGTTGAAATATTGTATGCAATAGATAAGTTACAGTGTATAACCATGTTTGACGTGTTAATTGCGACAGGGGTCACTGTTTATACAAACACATAATACAAAATTGTAGATATTGACATTTGTTTTGAATTATAACTTAATTTGTTTTAAGTTTTGTTTTAAATATTTAAATATATATACACTTAATACTTAAATGCTTAATACTTAAATTCTTAATACTTAAATTCTTAATACTTAAATTCTTAATACTTAAATTCTTAATACTTAAATTCTTAATACTTAAATTCTTAATACTTAAATTCTTAATACTTAAATTCTTAATACTTAAATTCTTAATACTTAAATTCTTAATACTTAAATTCTTAATACTTAAATTCTTAATACTTAAATTCTTAATACTTAAATTCTTAATACTTAAATTCTTAATACTTAAATTCTTAATACTTAAATTCTTAATACTTAAATTCTTAATACTTAAATTCTTAATACTTAAATTCTTAATACTTAAATTCTTAATACTTAAATTCTTAATACTTAAATTCTTAATACTTAAATTCTTAATACTTAAATTCTTAATACTTAAATTCTTAATACTTAAATTCTTAATACTTAAATTCTTAATACTTAAATTCTTAATACTTAAATTCTTAATACTTAAATTCTTAATACTTAAATTCTTAATACTTAAATTCTTAATACTTAAATTCTTAATACTTAAATTCTTAAACCTTAAATTCTTAATACTTAAATACTCAATACTTAAATACTCAATACTTAAATACTCAATACTTATATACTTAATACTTAAACATTTAATACTTAAACACTTAATACTTAAACACTCAATACTCAACACTCTGAATTATAATTATTTGGTCTGATTTGACAACTAATTTTTGCGCTAATTTACTAGATCTCCCGATTTTGATGAGGACCTGCGAAAGATAAGAATGTTGAAAAATATAATTGGTGTCGTGTAACTTTTTAATTTAAAATTTGATTAGATAGAATACTTTGATTCTGTTACATTTTTTAATCGAATTTGTTAACACACGAGAAAACACACGAATTTCAGAATTACACCGCACACGGAAAGTACCGATGATAATAACTCTGGAACGCGACTGCCCCCTCCCTCAAAAAAAAAGAAGTACAGATCAAAGGTCAAAGTCGTTTAAGTGACAATTAATCGCAATCTTCCGAGCTGTTAATTATTAGATTGAGTTAGCCTTCGCAATCATCTTTGTTTTGGATGTGTGTTTGCTATCAATTTAATCCTTGCTCGTGTCGGCTTACCATTAATGTTTCTGCGACCGATAATCGTACGCCGTGAACCTTCGAAATGAATTCGTTAATTTTATTCATTAACATTCTGTTTGAAATATTTAAACAAGTGTCGGTATAACGAGGCGTGTTTCGTCTGTTTCGCAGAGTGAAATTTCGATCATTTTTTTCACAAAATTCTTGCTTCCAAATTCCTGCTTTCAAATACTTAAAACAATGTTATTAGCTTTCAATGTTTTTAGGTACAGTAGAGATTCTCTTATCCGAACATAATCTTTAGAATACAGTAAATTCTCCCCAATCGACGTCCAGCTTGGAAACAAAAATGGATTATTATTATTACAATTATTATTCCAGCCTCGCGGCTCGCGTTTTCATAATTGTTGACAGTCGGTAACAATAAAAACTATATAAAAATAATCTTACCGTATTCCGGTACCCAAACGTTCCATTATCTAATCATTATATTATTTAGATACATAATCGCCTAGCAGAGAACTTGAATGAAATTTGTAGATGATAAAATGTTTTGGCATCGGAATATTTCAAAAACAAACCACAAGATAAGTGAGTAGCTGCTGTAATTCTATTTCCATCTTCTGCGATTAAAAAGCAAACAGTATTAATCGTTTCGGTGAATCAATTTATCGGCTACGCAGGATGAATTATTAATCGATACGCATCTCTGATGGAAAAGTACGCGAGAAAGATGCGAAGCACTATTGCGAGCAGTATTTTCGGCTGTTATAGCTCACTATCGTTTGCATCGTAAACCGTTCGATTCCAATCGAGGAGTACATCGATCAACACGGATTATTCCAAAAATTGAACTGTCGCGACGAAGAAATCCAGCTGGAAAATTACAGAGAATTCGCGGCTATAAAACTGAACGTCGAAGCCTAATTTCTTCAGCAACGTATGTACCGCGCGTTTGTTGAAACATGCCTGCTGCATCGTAAAAGGTGCCGCAAAGAGAGAATAACTCTTCGGATAGTCATCGGTCTACAAATTTATTAAAAATTGCATAGAAGAAAAAACCTATTAAATCGACCAAGCTAGACGTATCTCAACTTTTGTACGTTATTATATGATTCAAGAACCGGTTCATTAAAAATCCTCGCATCAATCTTGTCGCGTAAGTGACAGGTGGTTAAATAAGGAAAGCCGCATCAATCTTAGAAAATAGTGTAATCATGTGCGTGGAAGGAAAAAATCGATAAAAAGAGACCAAAGAGAGACGGCGTGCGCTATCAACACTTTAGTAGACGTGATAATGGATCGCCTCGTCAGTCTCAAGGACTCAATAGCAACCTCTCGAGTTTCAAGGATCCGGTACAGACGTTACAAGATTCGATAAATTCGATACAATTAATCCTGTCCTCGGGGAATCCGACACGTTTCTTTATAGAATCGATAGAAATCATGCCAACGAATTCGACAAATGGCATTAGACACTGACGATACATACGCACACGCGCAAACGAATTATGGTACATAGGATCTCGCGAGTTCAAAATCGTTTGCACCCAGTCTATTGTATCATCCGATCAGCAGCGACTTTTATCGACTTTATTGGATCTAGAAGGATACGTAATGAACGTCTGTCTCGTTCTAGGATGATTCATGTCGGATCTAATTGAACCTGAGATGACTTCCACCGACTCCGTTTCAGTTTAGAATAGTCTGCTTTTCCGCGTCCGGGATGTGTTACGTATCGCATCTCGCGAGATTGGAACAGTTTCGCTCCAGTTTCTGGAGTCGAGCCCGTAAACTAGCATTTCGTGCACAGCATGATTCATATCGGATCCCTCGAATACTCCGCGATGTATTATACAAGCAGATTCCAGAGAGTCTGAGACGATTCGTACGAGTATTCCGCGAGTTGGCCATTGTGTACGCAGAATTTGGGATTGCCATATTGAAGCGTGATCTTTGAGGAACGAGATTTCTTGAACCCGAGAGAAGCGTAATCAAAAAAGAAACATTATTGCGATAGTTTCCAGTTCGATGTTCAACAATCATACATTCCACGAGTCGCATTGTTTTCTAAATATTTTATATGTTAACGACAAAATGTATAATAAAATATGTAAATATATTAATATATACAGGATGTTACGCCTAACTGAGAACAGTGAAATATCTCGGAATAGATCGAAGCTACGAAAACAATGTTTATACAAAAAGTGTTCGGTATAAAGAGATGTTTTAGGCAGTATCAATCATTTCTTTATTGACATAATAATGAATGATATTTAAAGGTCAAGTTGGTTTTTTTAAATGGGACCATACATTTTGTTCAGTCATATTACGATAGTTGGTTTCAATACGAATACAATGTTGTATTATTTCTTTCAAATAATCATAAATTAGAAACAATTATAAATATATTAAATATATAAATATATATTATATAAATATATAAATTAAATAAAGTAATACTATAAAATGTAACGAGAAAAATATTAATGTATCTTGAAGCGCGTGAAAGAATTCGTTAGGAAATTGACAAAAAGTTTTATTAATGTTTTACGTTGTAAAAAAGATAAAAAAATGGAGTCATCGCTATTTCAACGGTTCACTCGAGACTCCTCGCTCAAGTATTGTTCCCTGAACCTAAATTCACCTAATCCAAGTGCTCAATACAACAATGTCTCCCTAACTGACGCTTAGATTGTGCAGAAAAATGGACAATTTGAGCACAGCAGATACGATTTTTCCGGTTTTTATAATCGGTAACCATAAAAACGAGTCGCAAGGCTCGAATTCGTAAGGCTACCACTTCCCAAATTGTCCATTTTCGTGGACAATCTGAGCGTCAATTAAGAAAACATTATTGTGGTTCCCTGTCTAAGCATTTGAATATTTTTCAGCGGGTGTGAACGGCAAGCAAGTGGTAACAAATGGCAAAGAGGATTATGCGGACAACGACGAGGAGGTCGATGCCGTGCAGGAGGCGATCGGGGACCTTGGCAGATGGCAAATTTACGTGTGTCTGGCAATCTCGTTGGTCAAGTTCCCGATTGCTTGGCACCAGCTCGCGATCGTCTTCATGGCGCCACACCAGCAGTACAACTGCACCGCGCCAGCTCGCACAGAATCGTTCGACCAGTGCATAGTCAATGTCAATGGTACACTGACGGAGTGCACCGAGTGGGAGTACGACAAGAGCACGTTTTCCGAGACGATCACGTCGCAGGTAATTGTTCTGATCGATCGGCCTCGGTTTCGCCTCGGTTTCGCTCGTGTGCGGAAGCGGCGGTAATCAATAAACTTGAAATTCCAGTGACGGAGAGATCATAGAATTAACCATTAAATGATATACAATGTATTTCGCTCGGCAATGCAATTTCGTTCGTAAACATTTACGAGGCGCGTGAATAGCACGCGGGACTCTCGTTCACGAAAAGTGTCGCTCACGAACTGGATCGCATCGCGTGAAACCGTGTTTTAAAAAATAATCATAATGTTCTCCACGAGCATTTGATTGGGTAAGTGCAATCGTCCCGGTCAGTATGTTTTTCCTAGCCACGTTTTCTTCGTTTTTTGTAATGTTTCTCGTTTTTTTCTTTTTTTTAGCAGACTGTGCTGCACAAAGTGATATATGTATTCCGTTAGATTTTAATCGGTCGTTTGAGCACTCGAAGTAGCGAATCAGTTTGTTCCTTTTTAGTTCACGCGAACATAGTGTACACGAGGTACCGGTAATTTCTCCCGGAAATGTTCGGAGATCGAAGTTGAAATCGGCAGATCTGGGATTTTCTAATTTTTTGCCATGGTTCGAAGGCAATTCGGAGGCCACGTGACACGATACGAAGGAGAAATCATTCAGGAGTTGAACATTTATTAAATAACTTATATTTATAAAACTTCTGCTCTTAAATTCAACTTAAATTACGCGATTACACGATTCGAAGGCAATTCGGAGGCCACGTGCCACGATTCGAAGGCAATTCGGAGACCACTTGACACGACACGAAGGAGAAATCATTCAGAAGTTAAACATTTATTAAATAACTTATGTTAATAAAAGAATTCGTCGATCCTTTTCATCGACGTAGCAATAAATCACACAGGCGTAGAACAATGAAATTCACGGCAACCCGAATTTTGACATTTTCCGAGAGAAATTACTGTATGTAGTAGCATTTAATTTTCTAACGAGCTTTTTCGTTCTTATTTTATGGCGATAGATTAGTCATTTTGAAAATAGTTGCATGGATATGATAAGAGAGCGAGAGAGAGAGAGAGAGAGAGAGAGAGAGAGAAAGAGAGAGGGAGAGGGAGAGAGTTTACTTCACGATGGAAATGTCTTGCAACAGTTTCCTTCTCTCTGTGATCGATATACAAGATTTATGAACGGTTCCCGTTTATACGCATGTCTGTACAAGTTGTAAATAAATTTTTGTTTATTATTACATTATTTCAGTGGAACTTAGTATGCAGTCGAACGCATTACGCCAATATCCAGCAATCTATTTTGATGTTCGGCGTGCTTTTGGGCAATATTATATTTGGCAATCTAGCAGATAGGTACAGACAATATTGATTCATTACGTGTATAATCTGTCGATTCTGAACAATAATATTCGACAGTGCCGCCGTATGGCCGTCCGATCGAATAAACATGCGTTAATCGTTTGCCGTAGATATGGCAGGAAGATGCCGTTGATGGTGTCCGTGATTCTCCAGCTGATTTCCGGTATCGGCTGCGCGGTGGTGCCGTGGTTTCCGGCGCTGTTGCTGATGAAATTGCTCAGTGCCTTGGCCACTGGCGGCACGATGGTTACCAGTTACGTTATTTGTAAGTAATCATGATTTAACCATTGCCGTTATTAATTTGTCATTAGTTGGAAACACGCCGATGACCGGCAACCCTTTAATAACATGTTACTTAATTAGTAAATTCTCTTTAATTGATGAAAAAATGGATAATTTGGAGAAGATGCGATTATTCGAGCCTTGCGGCTCGTTTTTATAGTTGTCGACAATCGGTAACAAATACGGTAATATCGGTAATAAAAACGAGCCGCAAGGATTATTATCAAAAAATATTTCTTTCATTGAAAAGAACACTGAAAAATTCCAAGATTAACCACTATGAAGAATTATTTTCAAGAAATATTTCTCGCGTTGTACATTAAAGGGAACACTGAAAATATAAAACAAAAGCTGACAGTATTTTGAAAGTGTTCGTATTTTATTAAAATATTCTGTTTCTCATTCAGCTCGCGAACGATTGCTATAAAAACTAGAATACGTTTTAACTAATCAAACAGTTCGGTTACCAGCACGGAAAATTACAAAATAAAAGTTCAGATATTGCGAAATCCACGTAGCTTTCCAGCAGACTGATTTTCACATATTTTTCTACTTTAATAAAATATTTCATTTTCGTCTGAATTTAAACAGTTTTCATGGAAGTAAATATTTTTGTGGGCATTGCGACGCTTTCTAAACGAGCACAAACACGTAAAAACAAATGCATATAACACCGAAAATAACTTTCTACGTTACATAAATGAGTGTAAAATCAGACTTCTCGGAATGCACGGTATCCAATTTATGTAATACTTGCCGAAACGTGGCGGTTTTAACGCGATTAAAGTTCGTGCAATATTCATAATGCAACGAAAAGTCAACGAATTTAAATGTAATTTTAACATCTGCAATTCTCGCAGGTATGGAGATCGTCGGCACGCAATGGAGGGCAGCCATCACAGTACTTTATCAAATTCCATTTAGTTTGGGCCACATGTCACTGGCCGGTCTTGCATTTCTATTCCGCCATTGGCAACACCTGCAGATCGCGATCACGCTGCCTTCTATAATCCTTCTGAGCTACTGGTGGATCGTTCCTGAATCTCCAAGATGGTTGCTGGCATTTGGCAGGCAACGGGCAGCCTGCAAAGTTCTACAAAAGGCCGCTAATATTAATAAGATAGAAAACAAGGACATTCCAGACTTGGTTAGGCAACACTGTTTGCACCAGGTAATGTTTCTCCGTCTATCGCGACGAATTCAACGATCCCAAGAAAGCGGACTCAATTTTACAATTTTTTCTAACCGATAGATTTGTTTGCTCGCGATGAGAATCTCGAGAATTTCATCCGAAATAAACTATTATTTTACACGCGAGAACAGTTCTTCGCGAATAGTTTTACAAATTTTTAACTCGTAAATTTCCAGACATATTTTCATTTCGCGGACAAATCAGTTAATTAGTAAATTATCTTGATAAATTGCTCGTACAAGTAGATCCCGGCGTCCAAAGTGCAATCGTGAAAAACTGAGTAAAAAATGTCGAATATAAAATAAAGCGTATCACATAAATGCTACAAAATAAGTATCTGTTCCCAACGAATTTACACATCTTGTAACATATTAAAAAGAAAGAAAGGTTACATCATTATTCATCAAATCGACGTATCCTCTCGTTTCAGAATTCCAAACGGACCGAATCGGACCACAAGGCTTCCTTCATAGATCTCTTCCGCACGCCGAACATGAGGGTGAAGTCCTTGTCGATCTTCTTCAATTGGATCGTCTGCGGAATGGGTTTGTTCGGGATGTCGCAATACATTGGACAAGTCGGCGGCAATATTTTTCTGAATTTCACGGTATCAGGCGCGATTCAGATACCCGGAAATTTCGTCGCTTGGTGGGCAATGAACAGATTGGGTAGAAGGATCACGTTGATCGCTAGCAACACGATCACCGGCGTCGCCGCTCTCTTGCTGATCGTCGTCTCGAATGGTGAATCGCTGTTTTAGATCATCCTTCCGGCTACTAATCGATTTCAGAGGACGCAGCAATATTAGGACGGCCGAAGGCCAAACAAGTGGTTCCTTTTGAATTCGATTATTGCCAGGATATACTTGTTTGTGACGTTGTTCCTGGATATATTTATCGGTAGATTGCAGATTTTTGTGCGAAATAAAACTCGCCTGCGCCAATTGCGAAATACTGAAGCTGTATAGAACATGTACAGTAAATTCTTCCTAATTGACGCTCGGATTGACGCTCAGATACACAAAAATGGACAATTTGGGGAGAGGAGACACGATTATTCTAGGTATTAATAAATGGGCGTAATAATAAACAATACCTATATATGATAGATATTTAGGCACATAGCCTTGCGGCTCATTTTTATAGCTGTTGACAATCGATTACTATAAAAATGAACCGCATGGCTCGGATAATCGTATCCCCTCTTCCTAAATTGTCCATTTTTCTTGCACAATTTGAGCGTCAATTAGGGAGAATTTACTGTATTCTTAATCATTTTAACAAGCTCGAATGAGTGCAACTGCATTTGAATGTTGTTTCAATGTTTTAACTGTTTTCTATTTGATTCACACGTTCGTCACATGCATAAAATCGTCAGTTTACTTATTAATAATTAAAAAAAACGCCAGTTCTCGAAGTGTGAAGAATTGTTGTAGTTATGCAGTGATGAAGACTATGAACTGATTAAGAATTCAAGCAAAAATTGTAAAAGTCTTTTTCGCAGTTCTGTCAGAAAATTGTCGTTGCTAATTGGTAAATAGACTGTGCAAATTTGATGCATTTACGACAGAAATGTCTCATTAGAGTTGCACACTCCTCGGATGGAAATCATGGAAAAGTGTTTAGTGGTACTGATTATGGTTCGTCTTGTTTTTGCAGATATCGCATGGCTTCGATTGATTCTAGTCTGTACCGGCATCGTCGGCATGTCGGTCTCCTTCACTACGGTCTACTTGTTCTCCGGCGAATTATTCCCCACGGTTGTTCGAAACATTGGCGTGGGCACTAGCAGCATGTGCGCGAGAATAGGTTCCATCACGGCACCATTCGTGGTCTCTTTGGTAAGCTCGAGCATTATTGGATTATTTAATATTAAATATCATTAGATATTAAATATTGTTAAGTATTATTAAATATTAAATATTATTAAGTATTATCAAATATTAAATATTATTAAGTATTATTAAATATTATTAAGTATTATTAAGTATTATTAAGTATTATTAAGTATTATTAAATATTATTAAGTATTATTAAGTATTATTAAATATTATTAAGTATTATTAAGTATTATTAAATATTATTAAATGTTAATGACGTTAACATTTACTCTGCGAATATGTAAGTTCACGAGTCAGTAAATTGATTGAGCAAAAGGAGCCAAATCAGTTCATGCATTTTCCTAAGAATTATTTTGTAAAATAAGAGGGCAAAACAAGAATCTAAACGGCAGCACTTACTTTTACTTGCTAAATTTATTTTTGCATTGCACATCAATTTGCTATAGATCAATTGTCTTATTCGCATTTCCACCCCTTCTTGCAGGATCATATTCAAACATGGCTTCCGCCGGCCTTCTTTGGGATTCTGCCACTTGTTGGTGCTGCGCTCTGTCTTCTGCTACCAGAAACTGTTGGGTGTACACTTCCGGAAACGCTTCACGACGGTGAAGAATTTGGAAAGTGAGTTATTCCGCAGACCTCGAAATGATTGACTATATTTTACAAATGCATCCACATTTATTTACACGTTTCTTTTTTTACCTATTTCGTTTATCCTCTTCGAGATCAACGTTGATCTTTTGTCCGGTTTAATGCAAATAATAATCGGCACTGATTATTAAAAAAAAAACTGGAATTTCGATGGAACATTTGTAACTTAAAGTGAAGCAAAATAATCCAAAATCTCGCTGTTTCATTCGAATGCATTATTTCTTTCAGGAAACCGCGCAAGATAAAGAAGAAACCGAAGGATGTCGAGGCGGAAGCAGCGCTGTGAACGATAACTGCAACGAAAGCCATGCGACGGAGTGTTTTTTTAAACGAAGTGCGACGGGGCAATAGCGAGAAATCGAGAACATTGATTTTCGTAGAGTAATTAGGTGTATATATATACATATAAGTAATACTGAGATCATTCCGCGTTCTTATTTATTACGTTACATTCACAATTTTTAACGGCATCCGAAGAACACTGTTTTTCTTTCTCTTCGCGCATACCTAGAAACATATCAATCTCATATTCCAGCCGAAATTGACCTTGTCATTCGTATTTGACGGAATCGAGCAGCGTATCCGCGCGAAACAATGGGACACTCTTTTAGGCGAATAGAATTCTATTAGATGGTCCCCCATTTGTTGGACGAATATTTTTGATACCGGTGTTTACAAGACCACGAGGAGCATTATCTACTGCCAACAGACAGTTGCAAAGGAAGTGCCTTGTACCATTTGTATGCGAATGTATAAATAGATCTTATATTTTATAGACCAGAAATTTCATTGTTCACCGTCCACTCCCGATTATTCGAGCTTCCCTGTTCCACAAATAACGAGGAATTTAATTTCACGGTGCTGTCCTTGCGCGGTCAGCAATAATTCCAGGATATTAAGGATAATTAAAAATTTCAAGCAGATAGAACAAATTCTGTCTACTTGAATAATTACACGGGCAAGAAATTTCACCCTTACTCTGATGCACCATACCGAAATATGAAAGCTATTTTCCTCTATTAATCTGTTTCTGGAAAAAATGTTAAAAAAGAGATGAAGTTTTAACTATAAAAGTTATGTATCATTCATTCTTGCCTCTCAGATGGTTCTGTAGAATTTTCTAAATACAATAGTATATTTTTGTATAGCTTCGTAAACATTTGAACGTGTTTAAACAATATTTAACTATGGGACAAAATTTAATAACACCATAAAATTTGACGTAATCAAATTTTTAAAAAGGAACAGTAGGCTACTGTCGTCGAAAACATCAACGATTTTATAGTGATTGTGGATAATTACATTTTTTGACATTTATTAATTTAAATAGCATAGATATTAATTTAAATAGCATATATATTAATTTAAACAGCGAAGCAATAAACAAGTTGAACTCACGCGAGTCCTTTTTAAATGTCCTTTCACTTCTTTTCAACGATCAAAGCAATAATTGTAATTACTTATTTAACAGGTGTAACACAAACTGGATTTTCTGTTTTTTACCATGGTTTGCAACGATGAAGAAGGACTTGCAGCCACTCTCCATATAAATTCAAGGTTAACGCACTTTTACATGCTCCGTTGACGAACGGATTTTTTGTTTATTTTGTGGTTGAAACTGGTAGTAAAAACGCGAACCTGCCGCGGCTGCGCTTGTTCCAGCGAAAACATAACCCAACTGGGAATAAAAATCGAGGAGTTTCGTACTTGCGCTGCCTTTACCTTGATTGTATGGAGGAAATCCTTATGCGATTCGCTTAACTCGAACGTATTTGACAGAACACGGCGATACGGAGCTCGTTCGGGCCGAGAGCCCAGAAATCGATAAGAAAATCCATTACGAATTCGAAACACAATCTAGTATACATAAATTATATTAATTATAAATTATATATTGTGAATTACGTTAATATAAATATTCGTGTATTTCTAATCTATTTTTAATTACTATAATTACTATATTTATATATATAATTATATAATATGATTTATGTATATTATATATTTGTAATTATATAATATAAATATATATTATATAATTATATAATTACTGATATTATATTTATATATATAATATTTAATCTATCTATCAATAATTATATAATATAATTTATTTATATTATATAATTATAGAATTACTGCTATATAGTTATTGCTAAAATTAGTATAATTACTTACTAAGTAGCTTTTAATCGTTCCCGCTTCTAAATCCAGCTTTACAATTTTCCAAAACAGCAACGAACGCAAACGTCGTTGACGCGGTTTTATGTAACCATTTTCCGATAGAGTTGCTATAATATTTTCCCCGTTCGTAGGAATTCAATGCAATTATGAGCCTCCGCACTAAATCAGTATTCCGGTTACAGCGTCCTCTTACGAGGTAAACAGTCATGCATCAAATGCGTTATTGAATGCATTTCCGTTTACCGGATGAAACGGTTTAAACGTTAAAGTGCCCGACGATGTTGGCTCGTCCGTCGGCGCTTTTTACGGGAACAGAGCACAACGCGGGCGCACAACAATTAACGGAAATTGCGATGATCGCGTACAATGTTTACATAATACTGTCGCCTGAATGTAAATCCTGCCGTGTTTATCATCTTTTGTCCCGCGCTATGTCCGAGAAATATTTCATTGTGTTTCGTTTGTCTTATTTTCGCGAACGTCGTCTCGCTATTCGACGAAATCAATTCTGCTAATTCCGCGCGCGATAATTCGCTTTACAATAAATCTAAAATTCTGTGTGATAATTAACGTTGTACGATATTAAGTCTAAACAAATTCATTTCATATTAATACGCGTCTCTGCGACATCCGAAGCACAATTCTGAATTATTCGCGTCGCTTCTCTTCGCGCGAATAGCCGCGACGCCGAACGGTTCATAGCGGGAATCGTTTATTTAATTATTAATTATTAATTAATTCTATGTGATAATTAACGTTGTACGATATTAAGTCTAAAAAAGATTTATTTCGTATTAATACGCGTCTCTGCGATATCCGAAGCACAATTCTGAATTATTCGCGTCGCTTCTCTTCGCGCGAATAGCCGCGACGCCGAACGGTTCATAGCGGGAATCGTTTATTTAATTAATAATTATTGATTCATTCTATGCAACATGCGTCTCCGTGACAAGTGAAGTACAATTCCGAGCTATTCGCGTCACTTCTTCTCGCGCGAAGAGCCATAATGTAAAATGATTTATGACAAGGAATCGCTTTATAAACTTTTATCATTGCAAAAGGAAAAACAGGCGAATCGTTACGAAATTTCCTGATAAATCGTGCCGTTCCAAGATCCATCGGCGATATCATCGAGTCGATTCGTATCTGGAGACATGTAAATCGTTTTCTCGCTTTTGCTTCAGGACATACGTGTAATTACAAACGGGTAATCGCGATACGAAAGGAGAGATCGGGACAGCCATTTTCAGTCGCCGACCGCGCGGTGCCGGCCGGAGAGCCATTTCGAGGCTTCTCTGTATATAAAGTGCTATACGAGAATCGACTATAGCGGCATTCTGTTGTGGACCGTTCCAGGCAGAAGGCCAATTCGTTCTTTGGGTGCAAGAGTGACGGACACACGGTGTCCAGAGGACATTAACATCGGGCACAGCCTCAGTTCCTCCTACCTCTTTGGCCACTGCGCTGCTTTCTGCGGATTACGCTCCACTAGCCGTGATTTAAGCACAGGTGAGTCCCCGTGAAAAGCTCCTCATTTGCGAGCACGAAATCTTCGACAGTCGTTGCACGGGTGCACGTTTTTTTCTATAGAATTTTCGACGAAATTTGCATATCCAAGATATTCAACGGAATTAAAATAAATAAACTTACAAATGAGTGAATTAATTAAAATTGGTAACTACGTTGTCGCGGCACGATTTTGTTTCATTTTTCGTTTCTTCGTTGATCGAGTGAAACGTAGCTTTCATTGATTATAATCCTGTCCTTTTTGAAAAAGTGTTCTGAATTATTCGCCGCATCGACGACGCTTTTAATAACGTTAACGACAACGCTGACACGATGATTCTGTTTTATTTGTTTATACAATCCTTTAATGCGTGGAACGTAGTTATTTTTTTATCATAGTTCTGTTATTTTTGAAAGAGTATTTTTAATTATAGAATTGATAATGAATTGTGGAACTTTCCAATTTCTATATTATTATTTTGAAAATATATCTTAATATATTTAGAAAATATATTTTTAGAAAATATATTTAGAAAATATATTTAATAAATAAATTGCTTCGATTCTATAAGATTCTTGTAGACGTTAATTTGATAGTTGCACGTTGATTAGTTGTTTAAACATTTTTTATACTGCAATGTTCAATGACTAAGAATAACGAGTACGTATTATTATAGAACAATAATATTGTAGAACAATAATATTATAGAATAATATTAATGATATTACAACGTCGGGAATATTGAATGAGTTTATGCGACTGTTTGAAAAACACTGATTGGAGCACACAGTGAGACACAACGAAATCGATTAAATAAATGAACAACAAATTGACAAGCACGCGTTTGAAAGTGTTCGCGTGACACTTCAGCCTTCCGTCATTGAATCGAACAAAACCGAGTATAGTTACATCCCCAAGACATCCGATTAACTCTTTCGCAAGCCATTTAATGCACCGACGTTAATTGTACACGGAAATGACAATGTTAGATCGAGCCTACACACGCGACTCCGCTGTTTTCTCAATCACGATTCAATTGTACTATTTACTGTTACGTATTTGATTAAGGACGCAATGATTATCAATAGTTTCATTATTTTTCAGTTTCCTCGAGAATGGTACAACGAATATAATCTTCTCGCGATTGCCAGCCTCTTGTATAACCATCGGAAGAATACGATACAGATTTTAAGGCTAAATTTCAGCTGTCAATTTTAATCGATCGGATTTCATAATTTTTTTATTTCTTTCTTATCTTTTATCATTTTATATTTTATTGTTTATTACAACGGTCGCGAACGCCCAGCATCGACAATGTGAAACGAGACGAAAATGGTATCTTGGAGAAATGAAAATTGAATACGCGATCGAATGTGGGCGCATGAATTATTTATGAAGTCTTCGAATCCAGTTTTTACGTAACAGCGTTTCGATATTGGACATTAGAATATTCGATCTCCGGTGATAATAACGATTTCACGGGAAAGAAAGTAGTGCTGATCATTCGAATAGAAATATCATTTAGCCGTATAATATTGAGTGTGATCGATAATGAAATATATTCGGTATAATTAAATTAAGGAAATAATTATGGCTTTGCGATAACGTTCCTTCGCGATTCAATTTGTAATTAGATTTCCGATCGTCAAAATTGTAAAGCCTTTAAACGTTTTAAACTTTATAAATTTGATCGTTTATGAAGCAAATTATTTGATTCGTTCATATAATTTTAGATCTATGCTTAGAGCATATAAAAACTCGAAAAGAAAAAGTTTAATATTTGCTATAATTTCGGTTGATTTTAATCATGCATTCGAGACCTGCTGTTGCAAAAAATATAATTATTGTTGACTACTACTGATAAGTATAATATAATAATAAATAATACATAGAATAGAATAGAATAATAAATAATAAATATGATATAATAATAAATAATAAGATAATATAATTAGATAATAATTTCGTTTCTGCTGCTGTCAATTTTAGCGAAATCGTAATCGCTGCAACGCAAACATTAAATTAATGTTATCATAATTTATTCTGTTTACAGCCATGCGGTGTTTTTTCTTAATCGCCTTCCTGGCAGTAGCCAGGGGCCACGACTTCGAGACGCTGTACTCATGGAACATGGTCGATTTCAATTTTCCAAGCGACAGTTTTCGAAACGAGTTGCTGTCCAAGGGTGACTACATCCCGGAGAACAATATGCCCCTCGGAATGCATTTGTGGAACGACAAGATCTTCATCACTATACCACGATGGAAGAAGGGTGTGGCGGCTAATTTAAACGTTATCTCGAAGAACGACGAATCGCGTACGTGAACGAAGCTCGATCGTTACAAGTTACAATTTGCACAGCAAACATTGACAAATAAATTGCTTGATTACTCTAGAATCTCCAAAATTAACTCCGTACCCTAATTGGGAGACAAATGACGTGCATTCACCGGATAGCATAATCAGCACTTTCCGCGTAAGGTCGGACGCCTGTGGTCGACTTTGGGGTATCGATACCGGAATCGATGGTATTCTAGAAAACACCACTGTCGTCAGCCCTGTTCGAATTTTCGTAATCGATTTGATGACGGACAAGGTAAGAAACTGGTTCGCATTATTTATTTATTTCCGGAAGGGCTCCGATTTATCAATTTGCGGAGAATCGATTTATTATATGTTATATAGTTATATTGTATTAATAATTAATATATTATATATATTATATTTTGATAACTTTATTTTAATTAACTTTTTACTTTAATTAGCTATCACTATCTTTATCTTATAATATATATAATATAATATATATTATAATATATTACAATATTATTATATTTCAATATATATATATATATAATATATAATATAATACAATTAAAAAAATAATAATGAAGTAATTAAGATTTTATGAGGTGTCTTCTGACTTTTTTTGAGAAAAATCGTGTTAAATTAAAATTTGAGGGTGTCTTCTGCCTTCTTTAGTGAAATAAATACGTGATAAAATCGTCAAAATTAGTTCAATCACAATTAATAAGGAATGAAAATAATGTTTATGTTATAATTACAGGTAATTCGAACGTATCCACTAAAGGATGCCCATCAAACGCCCAATTCCTTCTTCGTCGATTTGGCAGTAGAATCCGATCCAGACAATTGCGACGACACTCACGTCTATATTTCCGATATCGGCGGTTATGGATTGGTGGTCTATAGTTGGGCTAAGAACGATTCCTGGCGAGTCAGCCACAATTATTTCCATTTCGATCCAATTCACTGTACGAATACTTAAGTATACTTCAAATATTTCGTGCTTGTACCAAAATCTTAATTAGCCTCCAAATCTTCAATTAACGAAATTGCAGTCACGTTTCCGGCAAAATTCAGATTTCAGTACAATTGGAATTCAAATAACAGACATTGTGTTTCTGTGAATTAAAAGCAGAGATTTTGCCATATTTACGTTGAAACATAATTTTCTTTCAAATCTAATCTTTGATACCTAATTTCAATAAAAGAATTCCTAGAAATTGTGCAAACGAAACTAAGAAAAAAGAAGCCAAGCTTAAATAGAAGAATTTCCAGAAATTATACAAAGAAAGAAATCGAAAGAAGGACACTTTGAAAAAATTCTAAAAAACTTTGTCGTTCGTTCTGAATATATTCCGACTGTTTTCTTAATATCTGAATTAACGTCGGCGGATGTGGCATCTATCTTCGTCTCTTCGTTATCATAGACGCAGGCCGATCAATCTTCGATGATTAAGAATCGACATCGATTTTCGCAGGTAGCTTTAATGTCAGCGGCTTCAGCTTCCAATGGACGGACGGCGTATTTGGATTGTCTCTGTCTCCGAAACGTAGCGACGGCGACAGAACTCTGTACTTCCATGCGATGTGCGGCATCACCGAATTCTCAGTGCCCACGAGTGTCTTGCGAGACGACAAGACGAGGAGGTACGAGGACTATTTCGCATACAAGATCGAAGGTACTAAGGGACTGAACACGCAGGGGCCTTCGTCCTTGATCGATCCGAAAACTGGCATCGACTATTTCACTCAAGTCAGTAAAAATGGAGTCGCCTGCTGGGACACCAATGTACCATTGAATCCGGACACGTTTAGTAAGTATTCAACGATTTAATAATTTATGAAATTAATTGTTGTCATCGACGGATTTAATTGCCGGCGAAATAATAATAAGTTTCGTACGAGTGCATTAAATTACAAAATTTAAGAAACTCTCTGCTCTGAATAAATATCACTATTTCTATTTATTTCTATTTATTTCTATTTATTTCTATTTATTGGTCAGTTTTATTTCTATTTATTTCTATTTATTGATTAGTTTTATTTCTATTTATTTCTATTTATTGGTTAGTTTTATTTCTATTTATTTCTATTTATTGGTCAGTTTTATTTCTATTTATTTCTATTTATTGATTAGTTTTATTTCTATTTATTTCTATTTATTGGTTAGTTTTATTTCTATTTATTTCTATTTATTGGTCAGTTTTATTTCTATTTATTTCTATTTATTGATTAGTTTTATTTCTATTTATTTCTATTTATTGGTTAGTTTTATTTCTATTTATTTCTATTTATTGGTCAGTTTTATTTCTATTTATTTCTATTTATTGGTCAGTTTTATCTCTATTTATTTCCATTTATTTCTATTTATTTCTGTTTATTTCTATTTTTACTTCTACTTATTTCTATTTATCTCTATTTATTTCTACACATTTGTCAGTTTTATCAAGTCAAATGAACAAGTGGTAATGAATATTTAAAGCTCGCCACGATATCTAATTTTAGTAGCAATCATTTCAACATCTCGCTGTTCCGCGTACAATATTAACCAAACACGACGTTTATCAATCATCGCGACCGCGAGAAATAGACAGAATCCTTAATTTACGATTAATAGAAATTACCATTTGTCTCGGAAAATCGCTTCTTCCGCGCGCATTATGCCTCTTCCATTATTATTATGCAACGAGATTCCGCGAACTCCGCCGAACAGAATACAACAATACTTCGACTTACGTTCGTCTTTTTCAGTCAATGTGGCACAAGATAATACAACGTTGGTATTCCCGAACGATTTATCCATCGATTGCATGGAAAACAAATTGTACGTGCTGTCCGATAATTTGCCGCAGCTGGTGTTCTCGCAGTTCGACACGCGGGAATGTAACTTCTTCTTGACGGTGGCTCCGCTCGATAAATTAACAGAATCGTGCAAGAAAGTAAATTAAAAGGTAACCGAACTGTACCGTGCTATATCGCATGACAGATCTACCACACGGGTTGACAAACCTGTGTGCGAGTGTGTGTGTGTGTGTGCTTTTTTTTAATTCTCTTACGCTGTCGGCTGAAAAACATTGGAACCGATGGAAATTAAGATACGCCTGTCGTCGGAATAAAGACTTACGTGACTACAAACAATCGTGTTTCAGCTCATGGGAGATAATATTATAATGAAGAGCTCCTGGGATCGTTAACAATTTCAAGAGAAGCATAGTTTTACCGGGAGCCTCGATTTCGAGTGATCGATTGATCACGAATTTTTCAGAGAATTTTTCACAGAAGCAAAATTTTCATCGGTAGTGTATTTGTAATCGAATAATATGTTAGCAGTAATTTGTTTATTATTTGTACGCTATCGTCACCGAGAACCTCGAGATAATTACATACGTAAATGCTTCGCACGATATTATGCTTCGTCGATTATGTAAATAAAAACGATAAACTTATCAGGATCCCTTGCGTCTACATTTATTTGTACATGCTCATTATACAAAAGAACGTTCGGAATCGAAACACGCGATACGTGAAAGCAGCTTGAAATATTATTTTTAGTTGATATGTTAAACTAATTTGCAACACGTCGCAGTTTAGCTGAATTTTCTCTTCGTCTGCGCGTCGAACTCGGTCGTCGCTCTCTCTCTCTCTCTCTCTCTCTCTCTCTCTCTCTTTCTTTTTCTCTCTTTCTCTCTCTCCATCGCCTCATATTTTATTTACACACGTTTTTTTTTTCACTAACGTCCAAGACACGTGTACATCGAAATCATTTTCTCGTTACGTTATTCATTATTATCGTCGAAGAAGTGGGTTGCCTTGTAAAAGGAGACGTAAAGATGACATTTTTTCAAAATGCAAATCACGATGATGTCGAAAGAAAGATCGTTTATGTACGGAAATGAAATTTCATTTCGATGCATTGGTCCCGATTGCGCGTCAGTCGCCCCGACATTAGAAAAAATCTGACGAATTATGTTACATCCTCGAGGAATTCTTGATCACAGGATATTGCACGTTTTCGACTAGAAGAAACAAACGGTGAATACAATTAAATAAAATTCATCGTTAACGCGGATAATTTCGCGTATCTAATTGTTAACGGAACCTGTAATATTTCACGTTCATTTTATTGTACTTTTTTTTTTAAAAAAAAGATCTCCGTTGTTGAGCGGTTCATTAAAAATCTGTACAATTAATTTTCTGTGCAATCAATTTATAAATATCAAATAACCTTGCAATTTTAACTTCAAAGTATTTGGATGATTAAAAAATTGTATAAGTCTTGGTGTACGTTCAAATATATCTAAATTACAATCTTGAAAAGTCTTTGCATCTAATTCGTTTCTGTTATCTCTCTATCTATATTAATTTGAATTAAAAGCTTGATTAATGAAACAAATAAGACAATAGTTTTATAAGTACCTTTGATTTGTGACTCGCATTACTCGCTATCTTGGTGCCATTTTCAATCGCTTGTTGCCTTTTAGCTTTGAATATCTTCGCCATTTTCCCTGACAGACAAACATGATGAAAATTATTCTTAGTAATTATCGATCATGTACGCATTCGTTAATAATTAGAAAAACATGCAGTGATCGATACTGTTTATAATCAATTAACAAGACTGAAATTTCAAAGTTGAGTTCAATTCAATTTGTTGCATTCACAGTTAACATGTAAACATTCTAAACATTTCACTGACACGGGTCCTGCATTCGTAGAATTTTCTCGTGCTAATTAGAAATATATAAATGCATAAATTATATATTATATTTTATATATATGTATAAATATAATTTATAATATATTCTATAATTCTTAATATTCATTCTTAATATTCTAATAATATTATTCAATATAAATATATATATATATATATATATAATATACTCTATATTAAATATTTTATGTATTATATATTATATATATTTATATCTTTTATATTACATATTTTATTTCCATTATATACATATATATTTTTCATATATTATATTTTTCTTACATTCCTATAACATAACAATCAATCATCTCTCTCTCTCTCTCTCTCTCTCTCTCTCTCTCTCTCTTTCTCAACTAGAATTTCCAATAATCGAACATCCTCCATAAAATTATTTACGCCATTAAAAAAAGCAACATTTATCTATCATATTTGGCTTACCAGTTCTCGGTGCCGGCGACTGCACAACGTCCGCGTCGTCCTGGATGCGATCATTGTTCATCTTCTCCTCCTCGATGATTTTCTCCTTGTCGGTTTGCTTATCGATTTCTATCGTCTCGTCCGTGTCGTGTTTCGACCTCGTCGATCTCGAACTTTCGCTCTTCGTCGAAGACTTCACCGACCGCGTTTCGCGTTTCCGCGCGGACTCCTCTTCGTCGTGGTCGTCATCGGCTATTTCCGGTTCCTTGTTCACGGCCGTATCAGCCGCAGCATTCGCCTCGTTAGGTTCGTCCTCCTTCCCCGTCGACGAGCTATTGCTGCTTCCGGACTTCAGCCTCGGCGGTTTCGGCGGCGGCGTGGAACCGGAAGTCATCCTCGCCGGACTTTTCTCTTCCTTGTCTTTATCGCCCGACTCCGCCGTCGCGTCACCTGGCTCCGAATCCTCGTTCTCCCGATTATCCGTCGCGCCGTCTTCCTCGTTCGGCCGTTTCGCATCCTCCGATTCGTTCCCCGCCGTCTCTTCGTTCGCCACGTTATTGTTCTCTTCGTTCTTCTCCTCGTCGTTCGCGTCCTCCGACGTCTTCGTTTCTTGGACCGGGTTCTCGCTCTCCGTCTGCGCTTCTGGCACGTTATTGTTGTTATTATTCTCTGCCTCTTTGTCGTCGTTCTCCGGCTTCGGTTCTTCCGTCGCGGAATTTTCACGCGGCTCTTCGGTAGCCACTTCCGGTGTCTGTTTAGTCGATTCGTTGTCCGACGTTGTTTCTCTCGGCGAAGATTCCGCCGACTTTTCCGGGCTGTCAGCTTTCTCGATATTGTTCATCGAATCGGTGTCACGGTTCGTCGCGGTTTCTTCATTATTTTCCGCGTCCATCTGAACACTTTCCGTCTTCGATTCTGCAGCCAGTTCCTCCGTTGTGTTATTCTCGTCGCTGTTCGTCTCCGTCACGTTCTCGTTGATCTTGTCCTGCTGGAGGTCGTTTTGTCGTCTGCTTAGTGGGACTTTTAAGGGCGGCAATGTTCCTCTCTTCTGCAGAGTTTCCTACAATGAATCGTCGTATCGAACGATTAAACGAGTATCTTATTAAATGACGAATAAATATTATAGCGAAGGGTGTCAGGGTATGCAGGGTGTCACAAAAATGTCTCGCCGGAAAATGGGGAGTTCCTAAGGTCATTTCAAGTAACTTTTTCCTCAGCGAAAATGCAATCCGAGGCTTCGTTTGCGAGTTATTAACGAAAAACAGTGACCAATGAGAGGCGGACTCGGTTTGCGCGAGGCGGGGCCGAGCCAATCAGCGGTACTAGGCTTCGTGCGCTCATTGGCTCAGCCCCGCCTCGCGCCAACCAAGCTCCCCTATTATTGGTCACTGTTTTTCGTTAATATCTCGTAAACGAAGCCGCGGATTGCATTTTCGCTGAGGGAAAATTTACTTCAAATCACCTCAAGAACCCTCCATTTTCGGATTACGAGATTTTTGCAGTTTTCGGAACACCCTTTATAACACTTGTCTCAAGCGGACCACCCTGTACAATAACGGCGATGGTTGTTTATTTTGAAATCAATATAGACTGCGCTAATGGATTATTCAATGAAGCAACTGGTACTAATTGGAATTTGAGTTACCATCTGCGACGTTTCGTTTTCCTTGGCCGTCGAATTAATGGGCGCCCGTCTGCAGCCGACTAAAATTGTGTGGCAGCCACCGCATGCAACCTTTAATTTCGAAAGAGAGAATCAATTACTCGGAACTGGATACATGAAAAAATGTTCGGTTCATTAAGATTGCACGATGTGCCGGTAATTACCTTCGAGACGACGAGCTCCTTGTATCTCGGAGCGAAAGTCAGCTCGTGGACATTGTTCTCGTTTTCCTCCAGACCCAATTTCCCGTGTCTCCCGTCGCCGCATGTGAACAGTTTTCCGGAGCCTGTTGTAACAAATTGACGATCGAAGGAGACAGAAAATCACTGATGGAAAATCGTGAGAAATGTTTAACTACTAACTAATTGATAGCAATGAATAAATAAAAACAAAGTATTAATATTGCAGCCGTTTACATAAGAATTATAATATTATATATTGTATAAATATATTAATATAATTCTTATATAATATATATTAATTACATAATAATTATATATATATATATATATAATGTAATATAAGAATTATATTAATATAATTCTTATATAATATATATTAATTATATATATAATATAATATAAGAATTATATTAATATATGTATATATATTCTTGTATCTATTATATATTTATACATATCTTATGATAAGTCTTCAGTGAAATTTTACTGTAAAGTATTTTATATTACAAGAATTTTACACATAATGAGCAGAATTGTATCGTGAATGTTATAGTTCATTTCATTGTTACACTGTTAACAAACTTCGCGACAAATTGTTGACGGTAAATGTCCGCAGAGTTGTTCCCATTAATTTTCCGAGCTTTGACAAAATTGATTGTCGAAATTTACCGGTAACAATGGCGGTGTGGCTTTCCCCGCAGCCGATGTGAGAAACACTTTCATTTTGCAGGGCACCGCGTGGAAGGAGTTTCGGCGTGTCCAGTTCCGTGACATTTGACCCAAGCCCCAATTGTCCACACGAGTTACTCCCGGTACAATATAGGTTTCCATTATCTACGAACCACGAGATAATATTTTGCAAAATTGTCAGACATTTATTATAACATTTTTCGCATTGTCCCATCCATTTCATGTTTTCCTCGTAACGCTTCTGTTGCGAATTCGATCACAAACTCGTACAAACAAGTTTAGGAACGAAGGTTTTTCTCGACTTCGAGTCTAAGTAGCAGATATTAATTGTAAAAATAATGGAGAACATAAATGTGAATAAAGTGTAGAAGATTACGAGATAGAATACTATATTTTATTACCGAATAAAAATTATTGTTAGTGAAATACTATTATATTGCGCTAAAATACTATTATTACCGAAATACTATTAGTTATTACCAAATAACTATAAAATAACCTTGCAATTATTCTATCGCAAGGATTATAGTACATCTCTCTGGAGACTTATTTTTAACAATAAGCGCGTCATTTTTGCGCTTGTATTTCCCTGGAGTTCTCGATATTCAATTATTCTGATTAAAGTAATTAGAGGGACAGCCGGTGAAAGAACGCGAAGAAATGTCATGAGTATTGCATGCCTCTTACCAGCTAAAATAATAGTATGATGACCACCGCACGCCACGTGCACAGCCGGGCCGGGCAATTGCATTTGTTTCGGCACGATCTGCGTTGAAAATTTCGCTTCGATCCCTAATTTCCCGCTTTCCGTCTCGCCGCAAACGTAAACGAGACCGCTCTCTGGAAACATAATTCGATGCCTGGAAGTTCTGACACGGTGACACATATTTCCGTCGACAATCACGTGAAAACACGACCCAGTTTTCTAATCTGGCTGCCATGGTCGACGGTTTACGAACACGGTAACTAGTTAATTAACGTGGAGAACAGGCGTTTCGAAATTCGAGCGAATTATTTTTCAGCTAAACTCGAGCAATCCCATTTTGCAATTAACATCGGGCACAGTGCGCAAATTGTGTTTTACAAGTTCCAACGAACCGATCGAACGATGTATGTTTATCTTGCATATCGAAACGAGGTGCTGCATTTACATGGACAAAAACGAGTTGATCGAAAAATCGAAAATAGCGAAAACATCGATGCGATACATTTGTACAAAACGAACACGTTTTCTCGACAATTGTATGAAATAGATAAAACTGTATTTCTTCGTTGAACAATGTCTTCGCTGTTCTGTCTTTCGTTTATCAATTTTTACTGTGAATGCACTAAATCGTTAAAACGATCGAGAAAAGAAACAAACGTGTCCGTAGTTTTTCTGCATCTTGCAATTAACGAAGACAATTTTAATTTCGCATAAAAATCAGCGAACTAGTTACTGATTATTTATTTCGTTCAATAAATAAAACAAGACCTCGATTCGCTTATATTTCGCGCATAGAACTCGAAACTCCGATGTCAATCCTACTGTCCGGAGAAGATAAAAGAGGTCAATATAGTAAATTCTCTCTAATTGACGCTCAGATTGTGCACGAAAATGCACAATTTGGGAAGACGAGATACGATTATTCAAGGTATTAATAAATAAGCGTAATAATACCTATTACTAAAAATAAATAATACCTAATTTATTTATACAGCCGCAAGGCTATATACCTAAATGCCTATTAAATAATAGGCATCGTTTTTATAGTTGTCGACAATCGGTAACTATAAAAGCAAGCCGCGAGACTCCAACAATCGTGTCTCTTCTTCGCAAATTGTCCATTTTTTTTTGTACAGGAGCAAACAGGAAGTCACCTGTCAGAAAAGAAGAATGATAATAGCCGGCGCTAATTTGTTTGACTGGTTCGGGTATGTGGACTTTTGTCGGTTTGTTTACCAAACCGGAAACGTCAGGTAAACCCAGTTGGCCCTCGAGATTGCTGCCCCACGCGAAAACGCCGCCATCGCTGGTGAGGGCGAGGGAATGATGGGAGCCAGCTGCGATTTGAACTATCGTTGGTCCAGCCAGTCCCGTGTCGTACACTAACACCGGGGAGCTTGCGGAATCTCCAATCGCTGATCTTCCCCGACCCAGTTGTCCTTCTTGATCGCTGCCGCAGGCAAAAATCTTCTGCGAATCTGAAACATCGACGTTCGCGGCTGTACGACGCTACGCGTACACGCGTGAAGCTGCTGTTGCAAATACAGTAATTTCTCCAGGAAATGCTAAATTTAGGGATGCTGCGAATCGCCCTGTGCTAGTCCTACGCCTTTGCAATTTATTGCTACGTCGATGCTAAGGGTCGACGGGAAGTCGAGGGGGATCTCAATTGTACCTAAATACATTCAAACCTAACAACCTAATAATTTGTTTAATACGAATTGCCTTCGAATCGTGTCACGTGGCCTCCGAATTGCCTTCGAATCGTGTAATCGTGTAATTCAAGTGCAATTTAAGAGCAAAACTTTTATAAATATAAGTTATTTAATAAGTGTTCAACTTCTGAATTATTTCTCCTTTCTATCATGTCATGTGGCCTCCGAATTGCCTTCGAATCGTGTCATGTGGCCTCCGAATTGCCTTCGAATCGTGTCACGTGACCTCCGAATTGCCTTCGAATCGTGTAATCGTGTNATAATTTGTTTAATACGAATTGCCTTCGAATCGTGTCACGTGGCCTCCGAATTGCCTTCGAATCGTGTAATCGTGTAATTCCAGTGCAATTTAAGAGCAAAATTTGTATAAATATAAGTTATTTAATAAGTGTTCAACTTCTAAATTATTTCTCCTTCGAATAGTGTCACGTGGCCTCCGAATTGCCTTCGAATCGCGTCACGTGTCCTCCGAATTGCCTTCGAATCGTGGCAAAAAATTGGAAATAGAAACGATCTTCCACAATTCCGGTTTCAATTTCTGGCAGAAATTACTGTATCTATATTGTCGTCGTCGAACGAGTCCGAAGAGTTCTAAAATTGAAAGGGCATTAAAGTAATTAACGCGCTCGGAAATAAAAGTGTCACGAACACGGGTGCAATGTAGGCCGTCGGTGACGACAGATAGAAATCTTCGGTGTGACAAATGTGTTTGCCGCGTGCTTTGTTGCTTAAAATGTGGCTGATCATTTTCCTTCCTGAGAAAGCTGCTTTTTTTTATCTAATTAACCATCTTATCGCGCGGCTTGCGAGAATGCAGGAGCGCCCGCGACACGTTTTCTTGATCGAGATACAGCGGCTTCCTAAAGACGAACAAGAGTAAATATAATATTCCTTAACAGACCGCGGATCTTCGCGCAAAATAAAAATGATCTTCGTCTGGATCGCGAAAAAACGCGAGTCGAATAGAAATTGTTTCCTTCGTTAAATAATTTCAGCGAGATAAAAATAATACACAAATGTCCTTCGATTCTTTTAATATTCTTTGAATCTCGCCTGATCATTTTGTTGTTGTTACAAATGCATAAAATCCGCAGTCGATAGTGGAAGAACTGAAACCAACCGTGAAGTAACGTTTCGGAGCACATGGACTAAACGAGATTAAAGTTGCCAATAAATTACGCCCGTTAAGATCGTTGAAGCAGTTTTCCTCTGCAACAAAATTAGCTCGCCGATAAAACTAACGATGTGGCTTTACTTTTCACAACATGCTACAACAAAGGAGTTCGATTGAAAAAATCGATGAGGAAAGCTGTTTTTGGAACCGACCGTGAATTAAGCAGCGTCCAGATTATACATCGTATTCTATTAAACGAACGTTATTAATTAATATCATCGCAAATGTGAATTATGGAAATAAAAATATTCTCGCTCGTTTCGGACGAAGCTTTATTCGCAGCTGTTTCGAAAATAGAAATCGATATCGCAGCTGTCTTCGGATCCTTAGTTAAAACGTGGAATTATGGGTAGAACGCGCTTGAAGGGTGAAATAAATTAGGAACGGGTCAGTTAGGCGTGAATATATTACGACGGCTGGCGAGATTTGGGTTGGCTTCGGTTGGATTTAGGATAATGTAAAATTAACCGAACGAGACCCAGACATTTTCCCTCTACACGTACATTCGCTAAATCGCGTTGCCGATTCTTCGATCATCCGGATCTATTTTTATTCCACAGAATTAAACGTTTTCGATCGCGAGAAACGGTCACGGTAGTTTCGACGAATTTACGGAATCGAAGAAGATTACATAACAAGAAGCGATATTAATTTAGATATTAAATGTTAATATTGAAACATTTGCAAAAGTAGTTGGCGATATTCGATATTCGTCGATGGCAGTTCAGTCGACAATTTTAATTTAATGTATCATTTTATGCACCTATAGCAAACATGAATAGAAGAAATTCGACAGGAAAACTGCATTTAATATATTTGAGAATTCTGGCGTAGTTTCTATTATATTATATTGTATATTATATTGTATATTTATGTGTTATATTTATATTGTATATTAAATTGTATATTTCTATTATATTATTAATCTATATACTATATTTTTATTATATATATATATATTTCTATTATATTATAAGTTATCGAAGGAAGAATTTACGTTCAATTCTAATTTCCCGTAATTAATGCCTATCATTTTTATTTTGCATAAAGATCCGCAGTCTAATTACTGAAATAAAGAAAAAATAATTGAACAGCTTCTCCGATAGAATATCGTTTTTCTAGCCACGGAAAGGATTCGTGGACTATTTTTAAATTGGAAGGTGAACGACTGATAGCTGCATATTTATGCAGCATGCGATGCCATGCATCTAATTGCATAAAATTATCCCGCGCACAGGGATAACAATGTTTTTCGAACATGTACGATCAGAAAAATCTCTTACCTGTGCAAATTAAAGTGTGTGCTCGACCGCAGGCCACGTGTGTAACTTTTTCTGGCTTCAGAACTGAAAATTACAATTTTGTTTTGTTCGTTAATGATTAATGTTACAATCGTTCATTGAATATTTATTGTATATGTATATTTTAAAATTTGATTCGTTATCGTCGAATTCGGTCCATGAATAATATTATATATTAATATCGATTGTCAATAATAATATCGATCTTGCGAAAAGAAGGTTTGATGATTTTAGAATAATAACAAAGATACGTACCTTTCACGCACGATGGTTTGCTAATGTGGTTTTTATGACCAAGTCCTAGCTGACCCCAATCGTTGCTACCGAAGACAAAAAGCCTGCCAGTTTCTGTATCGAAAATGAGGAAATCATTATACTCGATAAAACTAGGATATTTCGGTTCTATTTTTAACCGTCGATATATTTTGACAGAACATCTTATTTTTATGCTTACTTGTGACATCAGTTTACAACTGTGCCACGAGCATTTTTACAACAAATTAAAGATTACAAACATTATATTTAAAGACGAAATAGACAAAAGTACAAATAAAATCTCAATTGCCGAATTATTCAATCATACAAGTAAATTAATTAATTTATATTGAAGCACATGATCGTTCATCCGTGTTTCGAATAGTTTATACAGCTAAGATCGTGGTAAGAATAAACAAATATTATGTAATTATTAAAGTAAATTTACTAATAATAATTAATGTACTACTAATAATAAACGTACTAATAATAATAAATGTAATAATTAACTTCCCACGAATATGTATATAATGTTGAAAATAAATGCAAAGGATCGACTTGTTCGAAAATCGAAGTAAATTCGCAAATTAATTTCGAAGCTTTCCAAGATCGCCAGATTATCAAGCGGCTATCCAGATTTGCCATAACGACGTTAGGGAAAGGAGCTTAAGGCGCAGAAAACGTTTCTGGACGAATGTCTGGAAATTTTCGTTCCCGCGAACCGTCCAAGGAAAAACTTTATATATCGTGGAATAATAAATAATTTCGCCCAGTGTATTATTTGCCGGAGAAAGGTTCACGTGTCCAGATAACCCCGCGATTAACTGGAACTGTTGATAATAACGGTATATCCGCTCTGCTCGTATAGGTATGTTACGTGCACGAGCATTGCGTGGTCATATCGATTTACTGGACAGTGGCTATCCCTCTGAAAGCACAGGTCGATTGTGACTTCTTCGTGAGGCATGCTACAGAAGCTGCAAACTGCACGACTTTCGACCTCTACCATTTTGCGTGGAAACGAACGCAACGTAGTTTAACCTCGTCAAATATTTGCGCCGAAAACTCCGATGAATACTTCACAACATCTATCCGAAAGTAGGCTCTCCGTCGAAGGGAATGGTTTAATTAACCTAGTGAGAATTATTATTGATCAATAATAAATTGTTATTGCATTAATTAATTTATTGAAACGAAGCATTAAGTAACCAATTGAATCGAGGCGTTAATTAACCGATAGAATCGAAGCAATAATTGACGAATTGACTCGAAGCATTAATTAAACGATAAAATCGAAGCTTTAATTAACCAATAAAAATCGAAGCTTTAATTAACCAATAAAAAAATCGAAGCTTTAATTAACCAATTGAATCGAAACTTTTAATTACACAATCGAATCGAAGCGTTAATTAACCAATAGAATCGAAGCGTTAATTAACCAATGGAATCGAAGCATTGATTAACCAATTAACACGAAGCGATAATTAACAAATCGAATCGAACTCGCTGGCACAGTAAACAATGCTGTTCGATGAAAATTAAGAGCGCATCGTTTCGAGATTAACGATTAAATTGACCCGTTTAATCGACCGAATAATTGCGTAATGAAACAACCCTTCGTAAAAGCGCGTTTCGCACACAATCGCTGTAACCGATCTTTCGTTAACAAGGGCCCGCGATTTATAATGTTCTCGCAGCTTATAAATCGTGATAGCCGTCGTGACGTAGGGTAAACCATGACGGAAGGCGGCTGGCGTGCAAGAAAGTTCAAGTGAGAGTGTAAACATTGTCAAGGGATAAAAATAAGCGGGAGAATTAAAACGAGATTATTTTTAGCCAGCAGCTAAGCCCGGTGTAACCAGCCAGGTGTTCCGCGACGAGAAATTACGCGAGCTTCGCGGGGTACCAAGATGGCGGCGCGTAACTTTTGTATCACTGCACCGGAGGATCCCGGACATTCACGTGTGTTCGCCTATTGATTTCCATTAAAATCAAGACCGGTTGTGTACAAATCAATAGAGCGACGCGTACAGAACGTCACTTTGACTTTTCGATGCCCAAATGAAACCGTGACGAACGTGATTGACCATGCCGCTTTCATGCGTTTGGCACATTAGTATAATGAATGACACTTGTCACACGATGGTTGTGTCGGATTCCCTGCGCAGAAATTCGAGTCTCGGCATTTCATGGGAAATAAAAATATTCTGCTAATTATCGTAAAACGACACAGCCAATTAGGAACATTGTTTGTTCCTTAACAATTTTATTCGAACGAAAGTAATACGGTAAATTTTCCCTAATTTTCCTGCAGCTTGTAAACGAAGATGAAGAATGAAAAATTATTCGAGCCTTGCGTTTTTATAATTGTTGACAATCGGCAACTATAAAAATGAGCCGCGAGGCTCGAATAATCGCATCTTCTCTTCCCAAATAGTCCATTTTTGTTCAGAAGCGAAGGAAAATTGTGGAGAATTTACTGTATACTTGCTACTCTTTGATTCCTGTGATCTTTTTGTCGTTCGAAATCGGGCCCGCTCATTTGTTGTCGCGAACGCATAAAGATCCGCCGTCCAGCGATTTACGTATCACGAAGAAATGCGATGTGTAACACTTTTAGAACATATGTCAATCGTGACCTAGCCTGTGTAGCATTGAAGAAGAAAGTACGCACATGTCGGGGCATAGACGCGAGAAATGATCGAAACACGTACGGAATCGATGCTATAGCGTCAACTAAATTATAATCTGTGCTGAATTTGAGATCTGCGACGTTATTTTATGCGGCGCGAAGGAAACGCGACCGCGTCGTTCCTTTTATTTAACGAGCGCATTCGACGTTCGCGGTTTGAGCGATCGCCAATTATTTTCGAACGAAGTGAAGAGTTCATTAATTTTCTTGGGGAACATCGAATCGATTCAACTGGCGACTGAATGTTTTTTATTAACGTGCACGGTTATATTGATTGTAGGAAATTTGTTAGAAGAAGACAATCTAATCTTCGAACGATTAAAAATAAACAGGAGAATTATATGTATATTATTGACATAACCGAATTATTTATAAAACTTAAAGAGAAAAGTTTTTCTGTTTCGATAGCAAAATAGAAAGAAATTTGTTCGACATACGGCAAATGACAGCGGAGTGCTCGTCCCCGCACGTGATGGAGACCACAGGATCCTTTCGTATGAAGAAGTGTGATGCGATGTTGTCTGCGAACCGGCTGCGTCCTATCGTAAATACCGCACCCGAATCTGTACAATTAAATGCGCAATGTTATTAGAAGCGCTATCCATGAATCAATGGATTTGTAAAAGGTTGCTTCATTTCTACTTTCTATANTATATATTATATTATATCATATATTTATTATATTAATATTATAATAATATATATTATATTATATTATATTATATTATATTATATTATATTATATTATATATATATTATAACTATACTATATGTATATATATATATAGTTATAATTATAACATATATATATATATATATATATATATATATATATATATATATATATATATATATAACATACTTCATA